AACATTATGGGGGATGAATAGATATGATCAAGATTGTGTGTTTTTTTAAATATATTTTATTGATTTTTTACAGAGAGGAAGGGAGAAGAATAGAGAGTTAGAAACATCCATGAGGGAGAAACATCGATCAGCTGCCTCCTGCACACCCCCTACTGGGGATGTGCCGGCAACCAAGGTACATGCCCTTGACCGGAATCGAACCTGGGACCCTTCAGTCCGCAGGCCGACGCTCTATCCACCGAGCCAAACCAGTTAGGGCAAGAATGTTGACATTTCATATACTTTGGCAAATAGTGAGGAAGGAATCGTAGCAAAAATTCTGGACACAGGATCAGGACCTCAAAAAGATCATGAAAGGATAGCATTGTTTGACTAGAATAAGATGACATTAAATGGGGTAAATGATAAGGGTTGACTTTGTGTTTCAATGGTAGTAAACAGAGAGTAGGGGCCGTAGCTTAGTCGTGGTTCATGTGAAAAGACATAAGAGTTAGCTTGATAGAAAATTACTATGAATTGACAGTTTGAAATGTCTGCCAAGTTTCCCTGGCCCATCCTCAATTCAGATAAATAAGGTGGAGGTGAATGTTTCCAGGGTTGTAGTCTTGGGCATTTCCAAGACCAACTTTATTAGGTTTGATGATTTGCCAGGACTCACAAAACTGAAAAAGAAAAAAAAAAAAAAAAAGATGTTATATTTTTGGTTATGGGTGTGTTTGTTTTTATAGTGAAAGGATAGAGATTAGTATCAGTAGAGTCCAGGAGAAAACAGGTACAGGCTTCTAGTTGACCTCTCCCAATGAAGTCATTCAGATGATGCTTAGTTCTCCCAACAATGATATGTGATGAAGCTTCCCTGAGCCTTGATGTCTGGGGTTGTTATTGGAGGTCAGTCACTTGGACACAGAGTGCCTGCTTGACTGACCTTAGTTACTCAGTCTCTAGTCTAGCCTCTCCAGAGGTCAAGCTGATGTTGCATGACCCAAGCTCCTAGTTACACAAAAAACACATTCCTCAAGGATATTCTGAGGGCTTAGAAGTTATGTCCCTGGTACAACCAGGGCCAGCCTTTATTTTTATTTTTTTGAATAATCATGGTTTGAACACTCCAAGTCTGGTCAATTAACCCTTTCTTACACGTTAATTCAACAACATAATAATATCATCAAGGAGCCAGGGCTATCTTTCCATTCTGTCATCCTTAGCATGTCTGTGATGGGTCCACTCATGGTTGCAAATGGCTAAAGCAATTTCAAGCATCATATGGAGACAATAACTATAACTTCTGGGGAAAATGGTGTCTCCTTTTATTAAAAACTAACAAACAAGAAAAAAAAACCTTTTCCTGAAGTCCGAGGGAAAATTCCCTTTTAGCCTTCATTGACCAGTACTGGGTTTTAGGGCCATTTCTGAATCATCATTGAGAAGTGGCTGGAAGTGCTACAATTGGCTCAGGCTAATCATGACCCACCCCCATGAACTGGGAGAAGTGTCATACTTACAGATTGTATTAAAGGGCAAATCCCTGAACACAATTAAGGGTCTTGCAGTTAGGTAGAAAGGGAAGAATGGGATGATCATTGGGATCCAAGAGTATTTGTCATAATCCATGTTCTTCCAAGGAATCAAAATTGAATAGATGAGAAGCTATAGGAATGTTAATCTCAAGTATAACTAAAAACACTATTTTACACAGTATTTGTATGTATTCCTAAGGTAACACCTCCTATGTTGCATTCCAATGATTTCTTTATGAGCCTGTTTCACAGTGTTTTGAACTACTCAAAGATAGGCACAAGTTGTATGCATTTATGTCTAAGCCTGAAATTTAACATACAGTAAACATTCAATAAATCTTTCATGAGAACATAAAGGAATGGAGTAGTTCAAACAATAAAAAGTGACATTCTGGTAGTTGATGAATTCTTCATCATTCACTCAATAATAACTCTTCAAGATAGAAGCCAAGTATTAAATGGGTGCTGAAACCAAATAAACTTTACATACTCTTTCAATTGTGGGTATTTTAAAAATGAAATTGCTATATCCTGAAAACTAATTAGTTTCTAGGGGTAATAATGTACATCCTCTTGTTATAAAAATATTAACAAAACCATAATGCTTAAAGTACATTTTATTCAATTTTTATCTTATAGTGACCCTGTGAGAACAGGTAATAATAATTTCCATATTACAGATAAGGAGGGTAAGGTAAGGAGGAGAGTCTAAGGAACTTCATGAGTCACAGAATGTAGTAAAGTGGTGGTTCTGGGAATATAACCTAGATAACCTGACTCCAGAGTTCATGTTCTTAACCATTACACTTCATAGTATTGATCACTCTTTCCCCAAACTAACAAGACATACTTCCTGAAATCTTGCACGTCTTATCTCTACTGTTAATAGATAAGTATTTAAAACATAATCTTTCAAAAGTTTCCTCCACTTAACTGAAGACTAACTCAGGCTATTATTCTGCAAGATGTAGAGCATTGTGTAGAACAAACTCAAAACACCTCCGCTTCCAATGCCCAGATGTGCTTATCAATTTGTTCCCAGACCTATTCATACCAATTTTATTTATTATTGTTGTTGTGCCCAGATTTCAAAGTTCCCAAGACCCCCAGGGAGCCAGTCAGTCCGATGCAAAAGCAAAGAGTCATTTACTTCAAACCTAGGTTTGGCTCCCCTGCCACACTCACCGATGCAACGGTAAGCTCCAGTGGCCGAGAGAGAGAGACGCCTGATGGGACAGGGGGTTTTAAAGGGGGGTGGAGTGAGGGCAGGAGAGGGGACTGTGGGCCCCGCTGATTGGCCAGGCGCAAGTCGGTCATAGTGATGGCGTGCACTTCCCTTGATTATTATTGGTTAGTCCAGAGAAATCCTGGGTGTGGCTAGTAGCGGCTTCTTCCCGTGAGGAAGCACATGGTACCGTCCCAAAATGGAGGACCCAAGGCAAGATGGAGGGCGCACGTGGCTCTGTCCCAAGATGGAGGCCCCAAGGCAAGATGGAGGGCGCAGTCCTTGTCCGGTTCCTGCTGCTGCCGCTCGAACTCACCACAAGGCAGGACGGCCCCCCGCACAGCCCCCGCGGCTGGCCTGCGGGCAGACTGGGACTCTAGCGCGTCTGGGCGGCACAGGCCCAGCAAACGGGGTGCGGCCGGTGGAGCGGCCCAGCTCTGGAGGAGCAGCATCCGCTCCGAGCAGGCCCGGCCATGGGGCCGGTGCACTGCAGCATGGCGGCCTCCCCGAGCTAGGGCACGCGCCCCACTCCGCTGCCGCCGCTGCTGCACTGGGCCCGGTCCAGGGGGCAGCGGGCGGGTGGCAGCCCACGCCGGGCTCCCGCCGTGGGCTGGGGAGCCAATGCCCCCCCCATGGGGCCCAGCGGCTGGCCCACGCAGGCCCCGGCCCCCCCCAACCGGGCCCCAAGGGCCGCATGGACCCCTGGCCCCAGCGCGGGCAAGCGGGGAGCCGACCACGGGGGAAGGGAGGGAAGAGCCAAGCGGTGAGGCCTTCCGCTCCCATGACCTCCCCCGCGGTCGGTCGCCGCCCGGCCCCACCCCTCGGCCCGCCGCCGGCCACCACGCAGCCGGCCCGAACACTCGGACCCGCTCCGGGGAGGCCGGCGGCCGCGGAGGGATCCCAGAGCCCAGCAGCCAGACTCCTCCTCCCGCACCGCCCGGAGAGGCGGGCGGCGCGCCTTTCAATTGTAGCTATGTAATTTAAATAAAATTGCTTAAAATGATAAAGGATGAGTATGAAAAGAGAGAAAGTTAAGTTTTAAAATGGTAAAAATTAAGATTAAAAAACAACAACAACCTGTATGAGTTGTCCCAAAACAGTGCTGTTGAATTAGTTGCATCTGAGACTGGTAAAATATGGGGGAAGGAGGAAAGGGAAATATAAAAACTGGGAAAGATTCTATATTCAGGTCGCTTTGTAAATGTATGTTCCAACCACAATGGAAATCATAAAAGATATAGTATGAATATTGTTTACACAAAAATAAAAGCATCTATAAATTCATATTTATAGAGAAGGGCTTGGCACTACATCAAAAACTGGCAGAAGCTTCTATAATTTTTATTTGTGATTCAAGATCATTTTAAGTTATTTATGTTACTATCTTTAAAACAAATAGCCATTACTAAATCCAATAGTTGGTAGTAAAGGTACTTCTGGTCTAGAGATGTCTGTACTTCCATTCCAGAGACATTTGTATTTCAATCAGAATTTAAAGAGACAGAAATGCAAGGAATTTCTCATCGATTTTTAATCCCTGAGAAAAGGAATGAGATAAATGTAGGCTTTGGAGCTTTGTGTCATACTGAAGCACAAAGAAAAGTAGTCATCCCTTGCAGGTGGCCAACCCTGGCTATCTCAGAGTCCAGGAAACTGGTGCTGAGTTGTGATCAGGAGGGGAGAGATTAAAGTTCTTATATGCATACTAGAGGCTCAGGTGCACCGGTGGGGTCCCTAAGCCTGGCCTGGGGATCTGGCCAAAACCGGCAGTCTGGCATCCCCCGAGGGGTCCTGGATTGGGAGAGGGCGCAGGCCAGTCCAAGGGACCCCACGGGTGCACCCACTGGGCCTCTAGCGTTTAATAGTACGTTCCAAGCCCGAGAACTAAAACAGAAAAGAAGGATGTGCCCTACAGAAATGAAACCAGTAAAGTTAGCCAAGCGCTGGAAGCTTCTGTGCAGAATGTTCCTTTATGATTTCTGGCAAGAAGCTTGTCCGGATGGGGGAAGTAACATAGGCGGCCAGATCTGCTTCATGGTTTCATTCCCACGCGCCAGACCCGCGGAAGATGTGTAGGCGCAGGGCTTCTGCCTCTCAGCCACCCAGGCTTCAGGTCACTAGAAACTAAGTTGGAGGAGTGATCTGATTGGCTAAGAAACAGGTGACGCACATTCCTCAAGCCCAATGAGAGCCATCCCCCCCCCCCCCCACGACGGCCTCAGATCCTGCTTTCCGATTGGTCCTTAGTTGCGGAAACCCACCTCCGGCCGGAACCCCGGCAAAGATGGCGGCGGCCAGGTGGTGGCGGCTCGTGCCCCGCGGCCCGGGGCGGTCAGTGCACTCCGCGGCCCAGGCCGCCGTGGGGACCCCGGACGTCCCCGGCGCAGAGGGCGCGGCGGCCCCTGTGGCGCGCTACCCGCCCATCGTGGCTTCCATGACGGCCGACAGCAAGGCGGCCCGGCAGCGGCGAGTGGAGCGCTGGCAGGCGGCGGTGCACGCGGCCCGGACGGCGGACGAGAAGATCCGCATCCTCACCAAAATGCAGTTCAAGAAGTACGTGGTTTACCCGCAGACCTTCGCGCTCAACGCGGACCGCTGGTACCAGGGCTTCACCAAAACCGTGTTCCTGTCGGGCCTCCCGCCGCCCGCCGAGCCCGGGTCCCCGCCCTCCGATTCCGGGTCCCCGCCCGCCGAGCCCGGATCCCCGCCGGCCGAGCCCGCGCCCCCGCCCGTCCCGGACCTGGCGACCCTGCGCGCCGCCGCGTGCGACTGCCTCCTGCAGGAGCACTTCTACCTGCGGCGCCAGGGGCGCGCGCCCCTCTACCAGCAGGTGGAGGCCGTCGCCTCGCCCTTCCTGGACCAGCTGGTGGCCGCCCTCATGGGCCTGCTCAGCGCGCACAACCCGGTCCTGGCCACCGCCGCCCTCGGTGAGCCCGGGCCTGCCACGCGGGGCGGGGGGCGGGCGGGCGATGTCAGGGGCCCACGCCGCCTCCGATGTGCCCCCTCTTCATTCCTGTCCGTTTTCCCAGTCCTTGGACCTCAGCTGGGGACAGCGCGGTGCAGCAGCGGTCTCTGCGCTGGGAACGTGCAGACTGGGCGCTGCCATCTGATGGTCCAGCCCTGGGCTGGGCGCCCCGGGTCCGCGGGACTCGGCCTTGCTGGGCCTGGTGAGGGTCCCGCCCGGTGACCGGCCCACCCAGTGGGAGAGCTGTGCGGGCTCAGCCAAGGGGTTCCTTTCCGCTCGCCCACCCAAACGTTACCCGATCATCTGTCAACGTAGGCACCACTTTTGGCGTTGATCTTTCTCGTTTTCAAAATGAGAATTAGGGCCAGAGTGCTTTGTCCTGGGGTTGAACAGGTGAAAGGCAGTATTGGTTGAAATACCAATTCATTCAGTACTTAATTGTGTGCCTGACCCTGTTCTGCATGGGATATGTGCCAGCTAATTCATCCTCACCATAACTGTGTACAGTAGGTAGCATGGTGTCATGAATCAGAGCTAAAGCAGGCGCAGAGATGTAAAATGTGCCCACGCAGAAGAGCCTGTGGCTGATCTGGTGGTCAGGAGTCACACCCAGCCATTCTGGGTTTCCAGTGAACAGTCAGCAACTTCTCCGTGCAGATAGGAGAAGCAATGAACGGGGAGACAGTTTTAAAAATTAGTGTTTCTGACGTGTCCATCGTTTTATGCCTACCACACACAGTAGGCATCTTAGTGAATGTTGATTGAGCTGATGCTGTCCCTGGAGGTGTGTGCTCCCTGAACCTTGTAGAGTGCCTTAACTCCCCTCTCAGCGGGGAAGGGAGTGGTGTTGGGGGCGGCATGACCTTGGACTCCTGACTGATGGCCTAGGAAAACTTAACCTTCTCAAGACTCAGGGTCCTCTTCTGTAAAACTGATAACAGCTGTGCATACCTTTCAGCCTTACCGTGATGATTGAATTAGTCATTCACAAGACAGCTCTGACTCCTATTAAGCTTTCTGATGTGTGCTACTCCTGTTCTTGTAATTGAGAAAACGCTTTAGTTACAGTGTTTAGTGCAGTGATGGCACAAGTAGACAACACTTAGTTGAGCCTTATAGTTAAGTCATGATCATTTAAGTTAAATTACCACATAATCCAGACTGTCTATTTATAGTCATTTTGATGTGTGTGTTTTTAATTAGCACCATTACTTTTGAGTTCTATATTGCTGAGTTTAGTATTCTAATAATAACCAAATGTATCTAAGTGGTAAGAAAGTTTTGAATATCTTTTGGTAGATTGTAAACGCCCGGTTCACTTTTACTGGTGGCGTGGTGAAGAAATCATTGTTCATGGTCATCGGAAAGGGCGCGTTGATGCTGTGAGATACCAAATAAATGATACACCACACAACCAGATTCGAATGTCCAAACAGCTGCCAGAGGTGAGGATTTACTGCATGTGTACCTGTTGCTGTGGGATGTGGAAATGTCACAGGCAGGCTAGATAAAGGGTGTGGTAGAGTAAAAAGGTTTGGGGGATCCTATGCCTTTTGAGATTCACTAAAATATATCTCTGAAATTCTTTTTCAGCTTTTTAACCTGCTATAGTATATGTATTCCCCAAAGGTCAGATAATCATTTTAAGTGAGGTTAAGGCATCCGTTTTCAGGAACATACAAGTCTTTATTTTTTTTCTTAATATAAAAATATGAAAAATGGATAATAGTTTATGATTATAATTTACAGTACTTACAGTACCTAATCACAAATCAAGGCATTTGTTACAGTTATAAACGTCATTTTATGTACTTATAGTTCTTTTGGAGAAAACAAGCATATTTTAGTGTTGTCTATGTGTTCATATCAGGTTGGTACATATTTTCCTTTAAAAATACAGGTAGTGAATATTTTAGGCTTTGGGGGCCATAAGTCTCAGTCAGAACTGCTCATCTCTGTTCTTATAGCCATGCACCATATGAAAATGAATGTACATGGCTGTGTTCCGATAAAACTTTATTTGTAAGAACAGGTGGCTGGTTGGATTCAGCCCATCATTTTGCAGATCATCTCATTTTAAGATTTTAAGTCTGTTATGAATATGAGTAAAATATACTCGTGTTGCTGTGAATCACTTATGACTTTTTCTTTTAAGTTTGTGCCACTGGATTATTCTGTACCTATAGAAATTCCTGTTATGAATTGTAAGCCAGACAAACTTCCATTATTCAAACGACAATATGAAAATGCCATATTTATTGGTAAGTTTCTCTTCTGATGTATTGTGCCATAAATGTGTCCTAGGTGTCTTGTACAAATTTACATAATTCTTGATGACCCAAGGTTTAGTCTATCAACAGTATAATTCATAGTCTCAGGTTCTTGCAGTATGCCTGAAAATTAGGAAGAAAATATTCTTTCAGCTCACCATTTAAAATTTTACTTGTTTCCACTGTATTAGCAATATTTAACTTTAAAATATAATGATACTTATAGGGTTTTGTTGATGTATTTTATAGGAAAAGTAATTTGTGTTTTTTGGTGTTTTTTTCAAAAGTAAAAAGTGTAGAACTGGGCTTGAGGCAGTGAATGGCTTTTTTACAAAAGTCTGCTGTTTGTTTCACAGTGTGAAAACCACCAGGAACATAAAAATTAATAAGGTCTGACATCTGCCCTTATGCAGTTTATTTTTTTTGCTGTTTTTTTTCCTGCGGAACATTTTAAGAAAGCTGCTTAAACTAATCCTCCAGACCTATTTAATCAGCCCCTTCTCTGTCACTAAGTCTTAGAGAGTGAATAAGGGGGACTTTTGACTTTACCACTAAAGTCAAGAATGTCAACGTTTTATAAAATACTGGTAAAGGGCATGGTAGATTAAAAAGGTTTTCTTTATTTAAAATGTAGTATAAGAACCAATTATATTTTTAAAATTAGGAACAAGCTATGTAATTATTATATTAAAATAATAAAGTAAGTTTTTGCCCTGGCCAGGGGGCTCAGTTGGTTGTAGTGTCATTTGGTACATGAAAAGGTTGCAGGTTCCGTTCCCAGTCAGGGGACATACGGGGATTTCAGGTTTGATCCCTGGTCAGGGAAGGTGTGGGAGGCAGCCCATCGATGGTTTTCTCTCACACTGATGTTTCTCTCTCTCCCCTTTTCCTCTAAAAATCAATAGGAAAAAAAAATATCCTCAGGTGAGGCTTAGAAAGTAATAATAAAATAGAATTAAATAAAGTAAGTTTTTAAAGTCATGAAGCATTTATCTCCTTTTCTGAATATGATAAGAACAATGATGAAGCTCCTTAGTTATGACTAATGTGTTTGAAAAACTGAAATAATAAGAATTTTTAATCCATTTTATATATAATTTTTTTACTTATCCTGTTTATAGTGAGCGACTTGGTGACAGCTAGCAGACTAAGTCCGTGTGAAATGTAACTTTATTACAATAAATACATAAACTAACCTTCCCATGTGTGTATGTTGAATACCAATCACGTGATGGGTAGAGGAGGGGTGGGTTTAGAGGAATATTGAGCACATGTGCTCTAGGTGTTCTACATGTCATTTCACGTCACATGTTTCTCTTTTGCTCTTCAGGCTCAAGGACAGCAGATCCATACTGTTATGGTCATACCCAGTTTCACCTGTTACCAGAAAAATTAAACAGGGAAAGGCTCCTGAGGCAAAACTGTGCCGATCAGATAGAAGTTGTTTATAGAGCTAATGCTATCGCAAGCCTTTTTGCTTGGACTGGAGCACAAGCTATGTATCAAGGTAAAATGATGGCATTGTTGGAAGATACCTGACATTTAAAAAATTTAGTAGTTCATTTCCTTGGTTGAGTCTTAACATTTCGAAAACTTGCATTACCAAAAAGCATATTTGTTTTAAAACCCCCAATTAAATATTTTACATGTGCAGTTGTCAAATGGCTCTTGGGTAGTGACGTGATCTGTTATTTGACCACTTTGTGTGACTGTATTTTTTCTGATGGTGTTGTCGAGCATTTCAAAGACTATAGAGCCCCCTAGTCAGCTCTGTAGATGACAGCAGCTTTTGAAGCTACGGAAGGGAATGCTGTGGTGGATTAAGTGTTAGGTTAAGTCCTAGCTATTCTTTATCGTTTATTAGAAGGCCATATCTAGGCTGTGGATCAGGGGATTGTTCATTCAGTAAATAGAATTTTTTATGTATTAAGCACGGTTGGCCTTGGGGATAAAGTGCTGGATAAGACAGGCAGACCCTACTCTTCTGGAGCTTATAGTGAGGAGAATAAAGGAGAATAAACAGGTAAGATTTTTAGGTAGTGTTAATACTGCAAAGAACATTACTACATAGATAAGGGCTAGAATGATTTATGAGGCACAGGTTTAATGGAGATGTGGGGCAGACTCTGTAAACATAGTCATTCAGAGGAGGACTCAAGAAGAATGAACAGAAACTGAATGGTGAGGGGCTGCTAAGTGTAAACTCTGGGAAAGACACTGAGGCAGACAGAATGGCAAGTCATATCGGAGGCAGAACAGACTCGAGGTGTTTGAGGACCATGAAGGCTGATGAAGAGAGGAGGAGCCAGAGGCCATTTCACGTAGGACTTTTAGAGCCCATTTGAGGTACTTGGATTTCATTTTAAAACCTGAAGTGATATAATATATAATGAGTTTAATCCTATATTAGTACCCAGGAGGGATTTTAATACAGATTTAATTATTGCCAAGCCCACGTTTTTCCTTTTGTATATATTTTAACCTTATATTCACAATTGTTGACTTGCGTTTCTATAATAGAAACGGGAGAGGAATCTGTGTTGAAGATCTGTTTATTCATGAAGGATAAGAACTTTTTGCAGTATAATTCCATATATTAACAACATTAGTTATTGACCATTTCCATTGCAGCTGGTATAAAATAAGTGTGGGGAAGTAGCTATGCCTGGTCCTGGCATTAGGGTTTTAAGTATTAAAGCCAGTCAGCCTGGATAAGAAGCAGTTGGAAAATTGAGTAGTTCAGTTTAAGGCAGCCTGGCTCCTTATCACATAAGACTCATTAAGTGAAATGACAGCAACTCATAAAACCAATTTTGAGATACATAAAGGAAGACACAGAATTTGTATGAGGACCTGGTTGAAGTCCTTAGAAAGGTCGTTTTTTTTAAGATTTTTTTTTTTTTTTTTTTTTTGGTAGATGTGGTGAAATAAATGGCCTTCATGGTTATTGGATGATAGATGTTACCAGTATGGTGAGCAATGATGTAGTTAACACCAGATGCAGGGAAATCTGCACAGATACAGAGCTGCTCTTACAAGAAGTGAATTAAGGTTGAAAGCAGTTGAAGACAGAAGTTGTTGAAAAGATGTATCGTGAGTTAGGGATACTAGATGTGATGAAATAATTTTTGATGAGATCTTTAGGAAATTGGCAGGTAAAATATCTAGGTTTTAGCAGATATTTGATACCCCTCTAATACATATATTTTGTTTGCGTTAAATATATGTTAGTGTAAATTTCAGTATAACTTTCTTCTCTAGGATTCTGGAGCGAAGCAGATGTCACTCGACCTTTTGTCTCTCAGGCCGTGATCACAGATGGAAGATACTTTTCTTTTTTCTGCTACCAGTTAAATACTTTGGCACTGACTGCACAAGCTGATCAGAATAACAGTCGTAAAAATATATGTTGGGGGACGCAAAGTAAGCCTCTTTATGAAACAATCGAAGATAATGATGTGAAAGGTTTTAACGATGATGTTCTACTACAGATAGTTCACTTTCTACTGAACAGACCAAAAGAAGACAAATCACCGCTGTTGGAAAAATAAGAAGAAACATTTGACTCAGGACTTTGGGAACCCTTACATTTTACTGAAACAACAATAAAAAGAATTTTAATGACAAGACTTGTGTTTGCCACATATTAATAAATGCACTGATTTTGAGACAAGCATTTCTTATGTTAATCTGTGATTAACATAATCCTCTCATTCTGCTCAAAACACATGGTGAAAGATTTAATTTTAGATATAGTATGTTGATGTAAAGTAACTATATATCACTAAGTGATGAGATTGATTAAGCTTTCTTCAATCCTGGTATTGCAAGTGATTATAAAGGTAATATAAGGGTACTAATTCAAATGCTTATGAATATATAGATAATTTGTTAATATTTTCCTTTTTAAAATGTTTTTGTTAATATGATAATAGAATTTTCAGAGTCCTATTCAAACTCCTTTAAAACATACACATTATTTTACAAATATAGGAAACTCAGTCCCAGGGAAATTGAGTGACCATTCTAAAATTAACATGATTAAAAGCATAACGGATGAATTATTTGCAGTTAGGTGCTAGCACTTAGCAGTAATGTTCACATATTTCAGTTAGTGTTATTTGCTCTAAGACTAGGACTATGTCTGCTATGTTCCCAAATCAGTTGTCAGTTGTTAAAGTTGATAATTTTGCTGAGAATTAAGGTTAATTCAAAACATTTTTAGTGAGCAAATAAATAAATAAATAAATAATCATGCTTATACTTCTCACTTTATATAACCTGCTACTGTGAATATTTAAAATACCCCATTTAGTACTCTAGCCACATGACAAATAATTATTGGTTTTCCTTCCTCCTCTACCTTTCTCATTCCTTCCCTCGCTCTCTTTCTTTCAAGACAAAGGTCACAGTTACATTGATTGAAGCCTCAGTTAGAAGCTTAGGGACAATTGTCACAAGTGATTGCTGAACTGAAGGGACCAGTATTGGAGAGTTTTCTCTGCAAGGTGTTGTGCTGTGTTCCGTCTTTAACCCATTACTTCAGTTATCCAGGGTGCTTTGTAATGTACTTCATTCTTTTACTTAAGTTGTTTCCAAAGCTTGGACTACTGTTCTCTACCCTTTGTCCTGTCTGTTCCAACCTGCCTGTTGCATTCCGTTAGTCCTTAACGGAAAAATGATGCATAGAGTGCAACCTTACCAAGTTCCAAGTAAAATGATATCTCATAATCTTGGCGATCACTTTCTAATTTATTGAACTTTGAGCAGTTCGAGTTACCAGCCTTGATTTTTGGCTTCCATAAAACAAAGTAATCTCATAAAGTTGTAAGGATTAAATGAGCTAGTACACGTGAAAGTGCTTTTAGAATGCTACGTAATTAAAATATTTGGGATTCATTTCAAATGTCATTGCTATCCCTAAGCTGATTATATTTAACTCATCAATTAAATTTACATGGTTCATACAGAAAATGAAAGACTTTCTAAGACATCTCCCATAAGGGCCCAAAGCAATACAATTAATCCATGAATTCTTGAAAATTTCCATGAAACAAACCTAAAGTTTAGAATGATTCCCAAGTCATTTTATAAACTTGTTTAAATTATTTAATTACTAAAAAACAGTGGGTTAAATATACATTTCAATATAAAATGCAGAAATCCCAAATAAAGTGATAATATGCCAAAATTCAATAGTAATGAAAATAATCTACCTTAGTAGGGTAGAGTTGCTAGTAGTCATGGAAATTCAATAATGGATTGGTATTATATAATAGTTTGTACATAAGTCTGAGGTTTAATACGTAGCTTATGAATTTGATCTTTTGCATTTTTAAAAGGTTACACTTAGAAGATAATTTGATTTGTTTTTTAAAATATGTAAAGGAACTGCCATTGGATTTAAAACGCAAGTGTAACATTCTTTAGAAATGAATTGAGTTGATGGGAAATCCAAGTTGATAAATTCAAATAGGACCTCATTTTTTTTTTTACCTTTTTAATTTTTGAACAAAAGAAATGAAGTTTTACCTTAGTGCTTGCTTAGTGATATATAGACTTAATCAGCAAAAATTCATACACCAGCCAATTTAGGAAAACTGAAAACAGAAGAAAGTAACCATCCTTAAAATAAATCAGTGTGTAATGATTATAAATTTGATGGTTTAATATTTTAATTGAAACATGAATCCTCAGAATATTTTTTAATGAAAATTGTGTTGATATAAACATATTCACAAATCTAGCATCTTCTGGCTGTGATACATATATGTAAATGGGAATCACTCATTTTGCTATGCACTTATGACCTTATTCACATTATTCAGATGTGCAATGCAGCAATATGTATCCAAACAGCTTTATAAATGAGCAAGCTATACTTTGATTATCACTGTAATTCTAGGTCTGAATGACAAAAAACATCCTGAAAGCTCCTGTGATGTTTAGCCACTTGGAAAGTATTTCTTTGGATCAGCAGTCCAGGTGAAACTTTTATTTGTAAATTAAATATATTTATGCTGTAAGCACTTTGTTAGGATCTTCAACAGACTTGCAACAAGTTTTCTCTTCCTTGTGAATAGCACTGATAATGAAGGTGGTGGGATTTACCAGTAGAGCTGGAAGGGGCATTGGGGTCATTTAGTGTAGCAACTGATCTTTGCTTATGCCTTTCATCTGACCCCACCCAGTGTGGGTTTTTGTTTTAATTGTTAACATGAAAAGAGAGACTATAAAACATCCACATTTCAGATTCTTTTGAAAAATTGTAAGATCTGGTGACTCCAGGTTTACATGCTTGCAGGTTAACATGGACAGGAACTGGAAATTGTACTGGGTCCCTACAGTTTTCACAGTCCTCTCACTTCTAATTTCACTTGGTGAACATTGTCGGGCATACTGCACTAATTTCTGTTAAATGTTTTATTCTGAGGCCTTGAGTTTATGACACCAGCTTGGTCCAGCTTGTGATTAAGAACTTGTAATACTGGTGGCAAAACTCAACCTTTACAATTACTTTTTAGGCTTTAGAAATCCGTTTTTCAACAACAAATATAGTAATGATAAATTCAGAAGAGTTCGCTTTCATTTGTGATAATTAAACCAGATGAGACGTGGCTTTGGGGCTGGAGGATGAGATATAAAGTTATTTGGCAAAATAATGAATGTCTGCTTCCTTCCTCTTCGGCTGCATAAAGGGCAAAATGAATCCTGACTTTTGTTTTGACAGTTTACTTAAGAGGCTGGGAGGAATTTTGTCCATTTTTATAAAACTAAAATTGGCAACCAGAGAATATTTGGAACTACAATGGGTATTTACGTTCCCTTCCTACCCTGAGTCAGATTGTCTCCAGCACCACACTCCCCAGCTGTGGAAGAAGTCAGGATGCTCGTACAGGTTGCGCCCTCTTACAAGTTGAGCCCATCAGACTTAAGAAGGGGCTCTAATGGTGATTCAAAACCAGACTGGCCAGAAAGCTGCAAGGCGCCTTTAAAAACAGAAGCAAACAAAGTGGGGGTGGGAGAGTGGGGGGGGGGCTTTTGACATTTTCCTTAAATGATGGTCTAGATGCCATATTTGGAAATACCAACTTGGAGGCATTAGCTAACAAGATAGTGACTAATTGGCAGACTGGTATCTGAAAGAAAAGACAAATCCAGAACAGGGAGCCTAGTGTTGGGCCTGCTTTTGCTCTAAAGCGGGGTTCTGTTAACTAAGAGAGGAGGCTGAGAGAATCAATGGCATTGAACAGCCTTGTGAGAATACAGGACCACCTAGGGAGGACGAAGGTGAGAATATAGGACCACCAACGCTGGGACTCTGGTAGAACAACTTGGTTTGAGACCCTGAAGGACCACATCCTTGGGCTAAGGGTGAACCAAAGTAAATCATTCACAAAATATAGCTTAGACTTGAGTCAGCCAGATAGCGCAGAAAAATCTGAAATCTTCAATGTGGATTGATGTGCATCAGGGATCTGAAAGGTGCAAATCTTGAAAAAGAATGTTTTTCTAGGCCTCATTTCTACAAACAGCTCTTCTAATACAATATCTTCCTATAATAACAGAACAAGAGGAGAAAGCAAGCAAGCATGAAAACTGGCAGAAACAATACAACAGAAACACCCAAAATGGCACCAAATATTTGGATGTGAGACAGATTTTATTTAATGTATATTATATTCAAGGAGATAAAGAATGTTGAGAATTGGAAAGTAAACAATGGAAGTAGTGTGGAGAGGAGATAAGGAAGTATATTCATTGAATGTTGGAGCTTAGAAATAAGGAAACTTGGGAAAAGAAACAAAGGATCAAACTAGGTTTTAGGAATTCCCTTTGTTCTTGTACCAGAGGTCATGGATAGCGATCTGTAGCAGTCTTTGTACAAAGCTCTATATCATTTGTTGGGTAGTTGATATTTTCAATGTTGATTACTAACATTATGCCAGAGAATAATCAGTGGAAATGTGTGTCTATAAACTAATAGCTAGTGCATGTTATTTTATCTTGCATATTTTCTGTTTGTGCAGGATTTTCAAGGTGCACTCATCATATTTATTTCCTAGAATTGTACAGTTTTCTTAAACAAATAGGTGTTCATTTTAAAATTGGCCATTACCTCACAAGAGGGTAATATTTGTAAATATATTTCAAGTTAGCATACATTTCAGTAAATCGATAGTTTAAATGTCCTAAAAACAACAGGACACAATGCAGGTCAAGAGCCAGTTTTAATTTATCTCACAGGTGATCTGTCTTTGTTCCGTTTACCTATAATGGAAAATCTCCTTAATGTTTACAGGATTTCTTTATAATAAACCATTACTGTGTCTGAAACACCCTTTTCAATGGGCAGAGTTGAACAGGAAACAACAATTTGTGAAACCAAGTTACCTGTG